AAGCTGAAAAAAGGTAAAAAATAAAAATTTGGAAAAAACAAACGGCATCAATGTGAAGAGTACAAAAGTATCTATCGATCAGTATGTGCCAGGTGAAGCTACAAAAACATATGACATTAAAATGCACAAAACTTTTGATACCACCTGATACCAGCTTCCAGAAATATATATCTCGGTCTCAATTCACACACTCCAGTTGTACATTATAATCAAAAGCAGCATCACAGTTATGGTTGGAAATAAGCGAGTTTTCGATTCGCAACTCCTTTTCCACCCAAACACCCTCCCAACTTCTTCCCCTCATATCACAATTCACCGCTTGACAAAAGTCCTTCCTACTCTCGCTAGCCCCAGCGAGTATTTGCAGACACGATCAAGTGCACTAAGTGCTTCCTGGGGACGTGATCCCAGATCCCATCTTGAACTAGTTTCGAATTCTGTTTTGCCAGACTGTTAATCGATTTAGTTTTGCTGGGACGTTTCTTTTTTCGAAGCTTTTATATTCCTTATACAAAGACCGCACAACTTTAAGTAGCTCGGGGTTTACGAGATCCCGTCTCGATGCACCGTCGATCGTAGAAGAAAACTTGAGAGTTGTGAAATTGCGAGAGAAATCCCTTGTCTGGGAATAGCTCCATTTCGTTTGTGGGGATTACTTGGAAATACTGTTTCACATAGCGTGATGCCAAAAATCGTATCAGTTGCCCGTGAAAATGATGGCTCAACAACCACCTCAGAAGATATGAGTTTCACCTTCACAAACTGAAAACATTATATCAATAAAATCAACCTGACAGAAGGATGTACCCGTCCCAACAAAGAAAACGTAAAAATTTTGGGAAAAATATTCATTTTTCAACATAATCTCCTTGCAGCTCTATACACTTTTACCAGCGACCTTCAATAAGTTCAATACCGTTTTTAAAATGACAACCTGCTTGCTCCTCAAAATAGCCATCAATTGCCGATATCATTTCCTCATCGTAGGAAAATCTTCGACCACTAAGCTATTTTATCAAGTTTGGGAACAGATAGGTTGGAAGGTTGCTAATATAATTTCAATTCCGAAAAAGAATGCACCTGACACGTTAAGTGACCTATGCCCTATCAGAATTCTGCCCTCATTCTCTAAAATATTCGAGAAAAATGTTTCCCGTCAAGTAAGAGCTTTTCTTGAAGAAAATCGAATACTCCCGTACGAACAGTCTGGGTTCCGCAAAAAACACGTAACCAAGACTGCCCTCTTGAAAGTATTCGACGATCTTGCGAGACTGAGAGATCAATCAAAAGTCACCAAAGTAAAGCTTTCGATTTAGTTAATTTCGATTTACTCATCAGCAAGCTCAAATTCCTAGGATTCGATGATATTTCTCTTAAATGGATGACCAGCTATCCCACAAGCCGATCACGGAGGGTCAAACTGGATGATTACTCATGGTCATCCCTAAAAGAAACAATCTCAGGTGTACCGCAGAGAAGTATTTTAGGACTTTTGATGTTTTCGGTGTTTATTTTTGATTATCCCACTTTCTTATCACATTGTCAAGTACATCTATACGCAGATGATATACAGTTATGTTTGCCTTCTCATAACACCAATACAAAAAGTTGCAAGGCCACTATAAACACAGATTTGCACAAAACATTCCTATACTCGGAGAATCATGGACTGAAAATCAATCCAAATAAAACTTTGGCCTTATGCATAGGGTCTCAAAGACAAATAGTAGAAAGTCACTGTAACTTTAGGCTCACTCTCGATAATGCATACATTGACTGGATAGACAGTGCTAAAAATCTTGGCCTAACCATAGATAGCTCTTTTTTCTCTCCATGAACATGTGACAAACATTTTCGAAGTATCATTCTTCAAACTCAAATCGCTATACAAATTCAGAATCAGTTATCAGAAGAAATGATACTCAAGTTAGTTGGAACTCTCATTTCCCCCCATATCGAGTATTGTTCGGTGTTTTTATGATTTTTTCCGCAATATAACAAGCAGAAGTTACAATGTATTCGAAATGCTTGCATGCGATTCGTATGCTGTATACCATATGGTGAACATGTCACACCATTTTTGTTAAAAATGAAAAAGCTAAATGTGAGGTACAAAATCCAATATTTGATAATTTTTTTTTGTTTAAGTTGCTTCAAACTGAAACACCTAGTTATTTATATAGTTTATTGAGCAGACATACTGACATACATAAGAGTTATTAGCAACTATATGATCTATTATTTTTTCTTTTCTCTATCTCATAATATTTTTTTGCCGACGAAGTAGCAGACTCGCTCAGAGTAGAATCCACTTCAGCTTTTATATTGGTTGAGCCTTTCAAATGAAAGTATTCTACCACATAACGCTGACCAATTTCCTCCATTTCCGAAAACGTTCATTATTGATGGCTGGCAAACAAATACCAAACAACGCAGCGTCTTCAAACTCCAAACATATGCTTAATAAATAGTGTACTTTCATCCCAACTTTCACCAGTGAAGATCGTGCCCGTACCTTCATCATAACACACTATATGACCGTCAAATTCATCTCCGTTACTGCGTTTATGTTAACGAGAAGAAGAATCGGGTCCAGTACTGTTCCCTGGGGCATACCCACATTAATTTGCAACGTTGCATTGAGCTTGCTACCAATATTAACAGTTAGTGTTCTTTCTTTTGGATAATCTGACGTTAGTTCCCAAGTTTAACCTCTAAAACCATTATCAAACAACTTTTCGAATAGATTATCATGCGACACAGTATCAAAAGCCTTTGCCAAGTCCATGCATATCGCAAGACATTCCAATAATGAAACATACCTATTGCTGAAGGTGATTTAAACAAAATATCTGTATTATAGGATAAAACATAACAACTCAATTTGCTATATTTTCAGGCAGCGAAAATTATCGGGTTAGTAGGTGCGTGTGGATGGAAAGAACTAACAGAAACGTCAATCGATCTGAAAAACGACAGAAAACACATGTTGCTTCTGGAAATAACAGATTCCAAAATACATACTGAGACGGCCTTTGTTGTAATTGATCAAGAAAATATGCTGTTGTAAAGAAAATGGTCAATTCAACCTTTTGGTATTGTTGTTGATTGCGTCGTTTTGATAGACTTCTAGCGAATTCTCTATCGGCTTGGAGAGACTTCGATTGATATATAGTGTTATATATATATATATATATATATATATATAAACACTACCCACGCGCATATTTGATAGTCTTGGGGACAGTGCGGTATGAAGTGATCTAATGAATACTAGTTCACTAGATACTAAATACTAGATTCAAATGATCACGAAGTGATCACTTCGGGTCGGGGTCGGTCACTTGGTTTTTCGGTATCAATACTTTTCTAACAAAGTTGGCGTTGAATGTAATTTATGATTGTTGAACCTTATCGGCATCATGAATGGTTTTGTTTCGTTCAAAGTAGACTAAACAAACGTATCCTGTTGATGATTTATAATACTGGGAACGCAAAAATGCAAGCTACGAGTTTAATTTTCAGCTTCGTGGACAGGAAGTTCGGCCATATCTGAATAGGTGGGTCAGAAAATTTATTTAAAATAAAAACTGACTAATGATTTCGATGAAAAGAAGATATAGGTCTTGAGTAGGACGGGTTATGGAAAAATTCGGAAATATTAACCAGAGATCAGACCAATCAGGGGACGGCACGCGAAAGGGGTTTTAGAAACAGTTTTTCGGACTTGGAGACCGTTGAGGGAGTCGGTTAATTGAGAAGGTGGCGATTAACACAGTTGGGGGAGTCGGTTAATTGGGACGGGGGCGATCGGACGGTTGGGGGAGTCGGTTAATTGGGACAGTGGCGATCGGACAGTTGGGAGAGTTGCGGAAGAGAGTTGCGAAAGCCGGTCGCGAAAGTAAATTATTATAGAGAAAATGCGAAAGTCAGTTTCGGAAAGGTTCCTTTGCGATCGAGAGTTAATTTGGAGGAGGATTGCGACAAGGGACTTTCCGAACACGGATTTCTGCGATAGTGAAATTACGGTAAATTGCGGTCAGTGAGTTGATTGTTGTTTCGTTTGGTGACACTTAGAACGGATCAGTATTTCACAAGGATACCGAACCAAAGAGGGAGACCAGAACCCAGTATACTATCGTGAGTCAATTTGGATTTTTTACTAACCCCCATGTCAGTATAGAGAGAGAAGATGTCATTTTATGAGAAAGAAAGTTTTTGGCTTTCTACCACTCCATCTTGATACAAAAAAAGGATGAGGGAATCTTCTAAAGAAAGGAAGGAAGTATATAACCCCTTCAATTCATGTCATTTTAATTTTGAAATAATTGTCTTATTGTTGTTTCGTCTTGGGGACGATATAAGAAGGGCAATAAATTACACTACACCCCTTTCATATGAGTAAATATCATATTAATTAGTACATACGGGTTTGAAACTGAAAAATAGTACGGCGGCCAGGTAATTTCAAATAAATAATCATTTCAGAATTTCCACAAAACTCGAGTGGAGTAATTTGGGTTTTCGTGTAAGTTGAAATTCTACATTATGAGAGAGTATATAACATTTCACAAGTGTATTGTGTGTGTATAAGTGTATTGTAACAGTACAGTCAATTAATGACAAACTCACGGGGAAAACGTAACAATGTCTAGAGTGTTGAGAATCTTGGGTTACGTTATTTACGCCTGCACTGTATAACAAAATAATTGTTTCGAAATTAATCTTGATACATTTATCCATTCCAACTTCACATAGTAGATTCTGGTGAATGCCTGCCGGAAAACAAGCACTTCCCTGGCTAATACCCCGATGAATATTGAATTCAATATAGTTCATCCATCTCTCATCTAAACACATAACTGTCCATCTTCGATATCTGCCCATCTTCTAATAACAAATTTCCCCCTCGCAATCCTTATACTTATCACAATTTTAATAACTTTCCGATCCCCGGCATCAATCTCGGCCACCGACTAATCTTAGCAATTTTCAGGTCCTCGATCAAGACCCTAAATCAAGCAACGAAACGATGGAAGGCGGGCCTCCAGACTCTCACGAGGCCATGAACAATCGAGAGGAAATCCTGCCGAAGATCCGCGAGAAAAGAAGCTATGAATTCCTGATGGGACTGATTAATAACAATTCCAGATACGAAGTCACGAAAGTGGAATCGGAGATTTCCACGCAAAAAAGTACTGTAAGTTGACGTTTTTTGTAACATGTTTAGTGAGATGATACATAATAGTGCATATTTGGGGTGGCAAGTAGAGGTGGAGTGTTGAAAACTGGCCACTTTTTACGTGATTCATCAAGTTAAGCATCAAATATGGTCGTTTTTAAGATTTTGTATGTTTAAATGAATATCTCTGTACATATTTGGACAAAAAGCCTTCGATCAAATAGACCATTATGTTCTTTTCAGCAAATTGACAAAATTGGGACTCTCCAACCAACAGCTTACTCTAATTGAATCATATTTAGTTAACAGAAAGCAACTCGTCGACTATGAATCTTTACTTAGCGTAGTTACATCTGGGGTACCACAAGGTTCTAATCTTGGACCTCTTTTATTTTTGATTTTTATCAATGACTTGGCAACCACTTTGAATATTCCTAGCCTACTATTTACAGAGGACCTGAAACTATATTATAAAATCGACGACATTACCGACATGCCAGCGTATCATAAATTAGATGTAATCAAACGTTGGTGTAATGATAATCGTCTACAACTGAACGTATCGAAATGTAAAATAATATCATTCACAACAAAAAAGCAAACTTTAATGTAAGGTTATTCAATCAATAATACTACTATCAACCGCGTACACCAGATAAAAGATCTTGGTATAACATACGACAGTAAATCAACATTTACAACACATATAAGGAATATGACTGCTGATGCAAATAGGATGAAGGTCGACAAAATCTGAAATTCTATTGCGAAGGATCACGCACAAATGTTATACTACGATCAGCATTAAATTTTATGTGCAGTAGCTTCAATAAAATATGTGAACACTGCAATATTCATTCCGACTCTAAACGCCTTGGTATCATGTATCTACAATCACTTTTAATAATACTATGGATAACATTTGTGTCAGTACTGCTACATTGCATGATTTGTGACTTTTTGTGTTATATTTTATATATACCTACTTTGATTTGGCATTTACTTTTATACATTTCTATTTTTCATTAGTTTTAATGTTTATATCATATATACTCTTCAATAATAGCATTTCCTGTAACTGGGTACTCCTGTTAGAAATAAATCGTTTTTTTTCAACATTTGATGTCCGTTTTGGGAAAAATAACAAAAGTAATGATATAGGATCTTCCATTGTGCACTTACTATCGAACTATCGATGACATTATATATTTATATATACACGGGCAAGCCCAATTCAGATATAAGTAGAATAAAAGTAAATTTTAAGAATAATACAATTCCGAAGTAAGATAACAAGTAGATTATTGGAACAGTGATTTTTTCGGGATGGATCAGACGCTTCTGGATCTCATGTGAATTCGTTTTGTCCCCAATTCGACCCATTCATCCAGAAATGGGCCTCATCACGTTGTTGTCCATGGTGGCTTACCTTCAGTTTCTGAGTCAGTTGAATTTTGTAAGGGCACAGGACCAAGTCACGATGAAAAATTCGCCAAATTATGGTCTGCGAAAGGCCGAGTTCTTGTGAGCGACGCAAAATCGACTGCCTCAGATTCTCCTGCACACTCTCACAGACAGCGGCGATGTTTTCGGCAAATTTTGCGTTCTGTGATTTGGCAAAACAGTAAATTGATAGATGTAGCTTTAACAAGATGGCCGTTATTAATTGTCAGAGTTCATAATTCCCTGTGGGAAGACCCGTTATATATAAAAGGAGAAAACTTTCAGTTGAGCTAACAAATAGCTCAAAAGTTATGAACAATTGAGTTGAACAAAAGAAGATGTATTGATTTTTGCAAGTGTCTCAAAAATTATTGCAGATACCCAAAATTTGGAAACAATTCTTCGCAGAGCCGAAAATTTCATGAAAAAATTTTTCCCAAGTTGGAGATTTACCTAAAAATCTTGATGATTTTTGAAATTGAAGCATGATTTTTTTTCTCCTTGCAGCTTTTTTTGAGGGGTTAGGAAAAGCCCCCCACTCAAAAATTGCAAAATTTCAATTTTCCATAGTGCATTTCTTTAATGTCGCCCTCCTTTTATTTTTTGAACGAGTCAACTCAAAAAATTGAAATTTGGGATGATGAAATTAATGCATCAATACTTCATTTCGAAGTGAAATTGACAAATGAACTTTCAAGATGGAGACTGGGCGCCATCTGGAAAAAAATTGAATGGAAAGAGGGGTTTTGTCATACATTATTATGAAGCTCCTGACGATTTCTTCACAACCCTACAATATGAAGTCAATATCTTCACCTACTACAAAATGGCGGAACATTTAATAATTTTCTGAAGACAAACACATTGATATCGATATTTCTTGAAACGACCTTTCCCGGTCGTTGGATTGGCCGTCAAGGTCCTACAGAATGGCCAATTCGCTCACCAGATTTGACATCTTTGGACATTTTTTATAGGGCTATTTGAAGCAAAAGGTGTACGAAACTGAACCTGCTTCAGTATTGGATATACGGCAGAGAATAATAAATATTTGTATAGATATTAACGTTACTGTTTTCGAAAATGTTCGGCGTGGAATATCGGATAGGCTGTTTATATGTCAAGAAGTTCAAGGCAACCATTTCGAGCATCTTCTGAACTGACCTCAAGCTCATTACTTTATATTATGTAGTTGAATGTCAATGTATTCAGGCAATTATTAAAAGTTCCGCCATTTTGTAGTAGTTGAAGATATTGACATTATATTCTAAGGTTGTGAAGCATTTGTCAGGAGCTTTAAAAAAAGTATCGCAAGACCCCTTTAATTTTTTATTCTCAGATGGCTCCCAGTCGCCATTTTGAAAGTTTCATCTGTCAAAATCACTTCAAAATGAAGTATTCATGCATTAATTTCATTATTCCAAATTTTAATGTTTTGAGTTGACCTGTTCAAAAAATAAATGAGAGGGGGGGGACATTAAAGAAAAGCACTGTCTTTTAAAAAAATTATATTCTGTAAAATATTCAAAAAATGTGATAAAAGCACCAAAAAAAATGTTTTTTTTTTCAATACACGAATGTTTTGTTTCCTTATCGATTAACGCTACATTATTATATATTTTTCAAACTTATATTCTCATTGTTCAAAAAACTGTTGATGATATAATTAAAATCCATTTCAAAAGCATCTGATTTCCAGATGATTTTTTCCCGTGAATATTATTACTATAATACATATTTTTGTACTCTGAAAAAATATATTATTCTCTTCAATTTGTTCATTCGATAAAAAAATCTAAAACAAATAAATGTTCACACTTTATTTCTCCACTAGTTGAAAATTGAATAAAATTAACTACGATTAATTTCAAAATAAACATTTTGTTTCTATTTTCAATATTATTTACGTCTTCAAAATGAAGCACGGTAATTTTAATTCAATGTTTTGCTATTCAAAAGAATCGAGTATGAAAACTCATTCGTTCATAACAAACTGTTTATGAAACGAACAAATGAAAAGTTTCATACATATTCGCACTCATTAAATCTGATTCATTTCATGAATTCACTTTCAAATGAAGTTTTAGAAAGCTTATTTTCAAGCGTTTCATAAACTTTGTGCAATATTCGTTCACGACATTGATTTATACGATCACATTTCTTCAGTATTAACTTCCGTCGAAGAAGCAGCTGCTTCGGATGCATTATTCAAAATTTCATAATTCAACTCGGAGGAGAATCATAAAAATCCGAGAATTCCAATATATATCCAGTCTCTAAGAGCAATACGCTACATAAGTTGTGTCAAATGACGCATATATGAAATAAAAGAGCCATTTCGTAACTTTAGTTTCGCCTTTTTGATGTCTGAATCGATTTCTGCGTTGAGGTTATGATTGATCGGGTTATCATCTGAAATTGAGTGTATTTGGAGTCATCTATGAAAAATCCCTATAACATTTCATGGCACAACGAATTTTGTTCAAAATGTGTGGGAGTTTTTTGGAATTAATTTAATAAATGTATAGATGAAATAAATCTTCAGATTAGTTGAGACCCTTTCGAGTTCCATTACAAACAAACGTACCAAAGAAGTCAATTTCTGAAAGAAATTTTCAGAAAATAGTATTCAGTATTACCTAATTTTGTGTGTATACAGGATGTTCCTTAAACACATACTAATATTTAATGAGGTAATTCTTAGACCTATTTTGAGGAAAAAACGTCCTATGGACGTATGTCCTAAACGCCTTAACTTTTGAGATACAGGGTGGCAAAATTTTCAATAATAATCAGTTTTTTAATAATAACTGAGATAATTTTGTAGACATCTTTGGCATATTTGGTACATATGTTCCATGCCTCAAGGCGTATTTTCTGATGTACAATTTTCTTAATTTTCTCTGCCAGTGGCGTACGTACGAGTTTTGAAATGTATATTTTTGGCGAAAAAAATACTACGCCACTGCTTTATCTTGAATTAAAAATTATTTTTAAAATCTCCATACATTTT